TGACTTTTTCAAATTTCGTACGGTCAAGTATAATTAAAAAATTTAACGAGCCTTACCTGTAAGGTGAAGTTGGATACATGGATCGCGAATGTGAGTTCGCGTTGCATCATGGGATAGGGTTCAAAGTCCAATCGGGCATAAGTTTATGCTAATTGCAACAGGTTGACATATAAATCTTGCCCGGAGAATTGCTTTACGACTTTTAGGCTCGTGCTTTAGTTATTTTTTTTATCTGATAATGGATGAAAATGACAAAAACATCGAGAATGATCATCCATCTTTTGATGAAGTTGCTATGTGGAGAGTCGAAGCCTTGAAAGAATTCCTCAGGAAGAGAAACCTCAAGGTGACAGGTAAAAAACAAGAATTGGTTGCTCGAGTATTTGCGGCATTTGAGCAAAGAATACCGATAAGCTTGCAAGGAGCTTCCCTAGTCAAACAAACCAAAGAAGAACAAAGTAGACTTCTGACAACAGACGAGGGAATTTTACCTGATCCTTTGACATTGAAAGATTGTTGGTTTGGGGAGGTGAAAGGAATAAGTCAATGGCCACCAATATTTTTAAGCGACATAACTATGTACATTATGAAAGATCACCCAGGTAATAATATCTCACTTCAGACTCGTCTTCTGAATGAATACAAGGAAGGAAAAGCTTACAGATTATATGATACGGGTTGGCTGAAAGAAATTTCCATCAATCATATCAAAGATAATTCCAAGTATTGCTTTATGAAAGCACGATGTACACCGTCGATGAAAATCAACGACACTCCTCACAATGTCTGGATTTGTGCCTCGAAAGTTAAAGGATCTATTCAAAGTGCGTATTGTTCTTGTACTGCTGGGTAAGTTTACCTAGAGTTTTATTGCACCGCTAAATTATCATGACATTTATTCATTCATTCATTTATCCGTCCATCCATTCAATAATAATAATAATAATAATAATAATAATAGTACTTTATTTCAATAAATGAATAAATAAAAATGAAATTTATATATCATTCATTCTTGTGATGCTTCTTCATTCATTTGTTTGTTCATTTATTCATTCATTTGTTCATTCATTCAGAACTATATTAGAAGAAAAATATAGAAGGCAAAAATGTGGTCAACAGGAAAGAAAACAATCCCCATATCAAGTCAAACCCAAATAATATTTTATATGTGACTTTTTTTTTTTGTAAACTTGGTGGTTCATGTGTTCATATAACAGCCATGTTAGCAATTAGCAGCAATGAGAGCTGGATATAACAAACCTGCATGCACTTCAAAGCTTTGTGAATGGAACATACCATCCAAAAAAACCAAGATAGAACCTTTGCCAGTTAAAGATATGAATTTTAGGGCTGCCGAATTTAACAAAGGTAAAGAATTTAAAAAAATTATTTATGGCTAGTTTTGATCAAAATAAACTTGTTTTAATTATAAAATATAATGCTTGAAAATGAAATTCTTATTTTTAGAGGTTTTCTATTATCTGCAAATCATAAAAGAAAAGTTTATCTAAAATTGATTTTTCTGCAACTGTTGCAGTACCTTCAAGACCTACCACATCAGCAGCTCGCAAGTTATTCCATCCAACTGAAAGTCATAGTGATACCCCAGAGAAAAACCGCAGGTTCATGTTTGATAATCTAAAGGAAATGATTCCAGATGGTTGCTTTACCTCATTTTATTAGAAAGTTAAAGGGACAAATTCAACAAAGGATGAAGAAGCAAGGAGCATGGAGTCTCCTCCATGTAACTTAATAATAAAGTTAGCAAACAAATCTAAATCTGTGGAGGAATTTTTAGATGAGCTACCAACTCTCACACAATCAAACATACAAAATATTGAACATGAAACAGTTGGTCAATCTAATAACTATATGTGGGTTTTACAAAGGAAAGGAATATTAACTGCTTCAAATTTTTACTCTGTTTTTACAAAAGTCTATTTCATCAAGGAAGATCCGGAAAATGCCTGCAAGGTTGAACCACTCATTAAAAAAATTATGGGTTATGAATCACATTATCAAGATATACCTGCACTCAAGCATGGACACATGTTTGAACCTATTGCAAGAGAGAAATATTTGTCACTAATAAAAAATTCTCACTCAGGGTTCAAGTTCAGAGAATGTGGTTTATTCATAGACTCTCAAAAGATATACTTAGGTGCCTCCCCTGATTTGTGTATTGATTGTGATTGCTGTGGTTCAGGAGTTGCTGAATTCAAGTGCCCATACTCAATTGCCCATGAAAAACCAACAGAACAAAATTTGAACTACCTGGTCTCAAATGGTAGTGGTACCACCTTAAAAAGAAAGCATCCCTACTTTGCACAAATTCAAGGACAGATGGCATTGACAAAGAAGAAATATTGTGACTTTTTTGTCTATACACGAGTTGGTTATTTTCAAGAACGCATACATTATGATCCTGATTATTGGTTCAGTTTCGTATCTAGTTTAGAATACTTTTTTCATAATTTCCTTGCCAAGGAACTTGTGTTTGAGGAAGTTAAGCAGAAAATTGAATTCTCCAAAGACACAGAAAGCTGAAAATAGATATCTGTTACTACAATGTAATACCATTGAGTGATGGCACTTGAAATTGATATGGCAATTTACTAGTTTCTTAGTCTATCTTGGACTTTGAAGGGCACTTTGCATGAAATTAATACAATAGATGTAATACTGCAAATGAAAACTATTGTGTTTTATACGAAGATTTTGTTTCATAAGTTCAAGTACCATCACTCTAATTTGGATTTCTCCTAGGAAAAAAAACCTATTTACATAACTTTGGATAAAGATTGCATAAAGCAGCACAGATTGCAATAATATCATCAAATTTATCTAACAGTGAGATGGGTATTTCATGCTTTAATATTCTGAAGGTCGTAAGTCTCCTTATGGCTTTTTCAACAAAAATCCGCAGATTTGCAATCTCTTTGGTCTTTTTCACTGCTTGTTTTGTCATCTGTTCATGACCTCTTTTCCCAGGAGGAATGCGCGGACGACAATGCCTTACCAAGAGATCCTCAGTAATAGTAAAGCCCTTGTCGGCCATAACCTCATCTCCATGCTCCAGCAGGTCATAAAATCCAGACTATCTGGTGATAGCAACATCTGATGTCCGACCACCCCATCCGCTTGATACAAAATTAAATGTGCCACATGGCATTATTGAAACTAGAACTTTCAAAGTTTGATGATGTTTATAATCAGACCATGTAGCAGCCCTTACCTTTGGGTCTTTTGGAGTTTCAATAAACACCTCTGTACAGTCAATTATATGCCTCACATTACTGTACTTTTTGCCAAATTTTTTGGCAAATGTTGTAGTGCTATGTCTTTAGGTGGATTGTGTATTAAGCACTTCAATTCTATAGCAAGAAAGCGCACCCAAGTATTGATAATTTTGCTAACTGTTGTCTCAGATACTTTGAAGCGCTTAGCCAAGTCAGCATTTGTAGACCCCAGTCTAAGTTTCATCAAGGTCATTAGGAACTCATCCCTAGCAGACAGTAATCTTTGGGGTCTAGACTTTCTTGGTGTTTTAAGAAATTTTCTTTTTTGTGCAGGTATTTTACTTGGACCACTCCAGTACTTAWGTTTAGGAACCTTGCCTTTAATCATTCTAAACAAAACATTAAAAGCAGCTCTGCTTGGGATCCCAGTAAAATGTTTGATTTTTTTATCAGACTTCAGTGCTTGATAGCTGAATGGCTTGTTAACCTGCTTTGAAAACCTTCTTTTCCATCTCTTAACATCACTTTTAAAATACTCCACCGCATGTCTCAACTTTATTTTCTCAATCTTGCAGCCCTGGTTTTGGCTGATATCGTCTGGCTTGTTTAAATCATTTTGATGAGAACTATCACTGGCTGATTTTGATTGATCAACTTTCGTGTCATCAAGGTTGTTACCTGCTGTACATGAAGGTCCAGGTTCTTGATCATCTTGATTCTGCACTACACTATTAGAGTTTTCATTTGTACTAGTAACTGATTGTTCAGTGTCAGGCTTTTTCTTTTTCTTGGGTACAGGAGATTCCAGTGGCAATTTCATAGAAGGTGGTTTTCTTGTTAGCTGTCTTTTAATTACAGCTGAATACCCAAGGTGTAGAATTGGCTCTAGATTTTCATCAGTAGGGTGGCCAACAGGGAAGTGTTTGGAACACACTCTTGAATTATCATTGGGCTCCCAGTTTTTCCCATTTTCAGTTTTTCGCTTCAGGGCTCTAATCCACCTTTGTCTAAGTTCCTTGTTGTTTAATTTGGTTGGGAAAGGAAATAAGGTAAAAGATGCATGACAAGTGCAATGACCTCTTCCTTGGTTGCAATTGTGGGTTGGACATATCTGACTTATGCATTTTCGTAGCTTAGCTCCACTGTTTCCACAGCCAACAACAGCGCAATTACGATGACCAACCATGAAGAGTCTTATAAGCGTACCTATTACGTAAAGTAAGCTTTAAATATCGTAATAAGTGATGTGATCAAGGCATACGAAGCAACATGATGTTCTGAAAGGGTTTTTTTCCCTGGTTGGAAGCAAGATAAAGTTGCTTTATATATTGTGATGGTGAAAAATCTCCTATAGGAGTAGTTTTCAGACGATAGTTTACTTATTTAGTTCATGTGTAGGCGGCCATTTTGAAAACAAACCAACGAATAATTGTTAAAAGCTTGTTGAAGCTAGACGTAACTAAATATATTTGTATGAGATTATTTACTATTAAGATCTATTATATACATAAACATTGTTTCTAAGCCAAAATACAAAGACAAAACTGTATAAAAAAGAATTAAAAATGAACCTCAAGACTCACCTTCCACACCATTTCTTGCGACTCATGCCCGATTGGACTTTGAACTCTGTCCCACAATGCAACGCGACCTCACATTCGCGATCCATGTATTGGGATTCTACGTCCTCATTGCTTGTATAGAGAGATCACGTGAGATAACGCATGCGTATTGAAGGTCATCCTTTAAAGTGGGCCCATGTCCATTACATAGCATAGAGGGGATGGGCAAAGAAAAAATTGGTTACAATAATAACTAACCAAGATAGAAGGGAGGGCACGTGATCTCTCTATGCAAGCAATGAGGACGTAGAATCCCAATCCCAATTTAACCTTACAGGTCAGGCTCATTTAATTTTTCAATTCTACCTCCTCATTTGCATATTCGAGATCCCGTGAGACTTTGAAGCTGCATGGGCCCTTCAAACCAACTGGTATCCAAAACATTTTGACCAGTTATTTTTTAAAACAACTTTTATTGAAAAAATAAACATCAACCAAACGAATATCCCCTATCTTGGAATTTACAATGTAATTGTAAGTGTAAAACAAGAATAACCTGCTTAGTTTCTGAACTTGCGATTGCATATTATTATAAAGCACAACTTAAAACAGAATTTCCATATTCAGTTTCAGAATGAACTTCTCTCTTGTAATAACTTACAAAAGTACACTCAGAGGACCAACCTGCTGCTTTCATTATTATGTCTAGTGGTACTCCTTTGTGATATGCAGCTGAGGTTGACGCTGATCTAGTACTTTGTGGTCTGAAATGTTTAACATCAGTGCCTGACTTCTCCATTACCGTCTTCACCCATCTAGAGATAGTGCTTGAGGTAACCGGGTGATACGGTTTAGTGTAACTAAGAAAAACTTTAGTATGTTGTTTATTTCGAATAGGTTCCGTTCTGGCTATGTAAGTTTCTAGATAGGTAAATACACACAGTCTCCTATCTGCCGGAATTGCTGGCAACACTAATACAGGTTGTTCTTTCCCAGGTCTTAATTGCTTTATAAGTTTCTTTAGATAGAATTTATACAATTATTTGCCTTTAGATGTTCTAAATCCATCATGTGGACAGACTGACACCTTTGTCCTCTGACTAGCATACATAACATTACTAAATTGAGTGTTAGTGTTCTCAACGTTAACTTTGATGCAGGGCTTCATGTTTTAAGTAAATCTAAGACTTGACAAACATTCCAAGTTGTACGATATCGTGACTGTGGTGGTCTTGTTTGGTAAGTTGCTTTGACAAACCGCTTTATCAATGGGTGTTCTCCAATAGGTAAATGACTATCAGTAAGTTCGAAAACAGCTGACAAGGCTGATCTTGCAGTATATATGGCTGAATAGCGGCTTCCTGTGTCATAAAGGTGTGTAAGGAAATTAATTATATCTGCTACAGATGGGTTAATCGAATCTTCATTTCTTTCTGCTGAAAATCTTCTCCACTTATCCAGATATACTCGGTATTGCTTTGAGGTTCCGGTCCGCCAAGATG